GGTCCCAGCGGCTCTGCCTCTGCACGGTGAGGCCAGGGGGTCCCCCAGCTCCAGCCTACCTCTTTGGGGCAATCCATGAGGAGCCCCAATGGGTAGGCGGGGCCTACCTCTTTGGGGAAATCGATCACCGGGCTTCTGCACTGTGAGAGGGCACAGGCCAGGCTGGGGAACGCCCCCCCCCACCCCTCCAAGTGCACGAATTTCATGCACCAGGCCTCTAGTATATATATAAAGGGCTAATATGCTAAGTGTCCATTTGGGTAATGACATCACATAGCAACATCCAGCTTCCTCTCCCTAGTGACAACTAGCCTCCTTGCAGTTTCTTCAGCCCAAGAACACAACTTGCTTTATAGCCAGGTGGAAACATTTCATACTTTAACGAAATGTCTGTGAAGTGTTTTTCCCTGCCTCATCTCATTTGATCCTCACAGAAGTCCTGGAGTAGGTAGATAGGAGACTCGATAGAACCTATTTTCTTTTCATTAGCTGGAAAATGGAGATTTAGAAAGTTTAGAAACTTGACCCAACTGAAAATAAGTAAGAAATGGTGGACCTTGAAAATGACTTCAGGTTTTCTCACTGCTCAGAATATAGTCAAACACTCCTGCAGTTAAATATTTTACCCTTTGTTCTCCCTTCGTGATCTACAATAATAATCTGCTTCCTGTTGATATTTACGGCTGTGTTGCTGACAATTACCTGAAAGAGAAGTTGGAATGCTTCACTGGGCTGGAAAAAGTTTAGCTAAATCAAAAAGCAGGTCTAATTAACCAAGTTTATTCTATATATATAAAAGGCTAAATTGACTTGCGCATGTGTGATACATATAAAGCTATCACTGGTGCCAATCACAAGTATGTGTTTCGATCTGTCATTGTTGATTGTGAATTTGGTTGACACTTCTTTATAGGGAAAGGGCGAATAGCAATATTAAAATATTTCTTCTAATTAATTTCCTTTCAATGTGCACAAATCCGTGCACCGGGCCACTAGTAAAAAATATGCTATTCTCACTAAATATTTTCAACTTTGTAAAGTAGTTATTTTGCATAAAATATATTAACTAATGTGAGGGGCTTTGCAGTTTTTATTTAAAACACACTAAATATGGACAAAATAACCCACATAAGTAAGGGCTCTTTAGAGTCCTTCATAATTTTTAAAAGTGTAAAATTCTTATATTCAAATATCAAGTCATCACGTTGTGCATCTGAAACCAATATAATGTTATGTGTCAATTATACCTCAATAAAAAAAAACCTATCTTTTTAGGTTCTTATTTGGCTTAGGGGGAAAAAAGAGTGCAAAATAATTTTGAGATCAAAATGTTGGAAAACTGCTGCAACTTATACTGCTTCAGTTGTTCTAAATTCAGAACATTCCAACCTTTAACAAAAAGATAGTGGAGGAAAGAAATCCCTGGGGTTATAGTCCCCGGGCTAATCACTAAAGGAGCCTCTCTTTGTTGGGTGTCCTAGAGGTGTTTCCACTCTGGGGGCAATGCACTTTAGTAAGCACTTTGGGGTGGGTGAGGGCATTGCCTTCTGTTTGCAAAGCAGAGAAACTATTGTGCATATAAGTAAACTTCCCAGACTGTTTTAGAAAGGGTGAGTGTAGAGGCTGAGGCTCTGGAAACCTATTTCTCTAAAACTATCTATGCCAGTGTACCCGTGGGAAAGTCTTCATGTAACCCAGGAATAGGGTGTCCCAACATGCTGGGCCCTATTTCCTCCAGGCCCTATTTGGAAGAGATGGGAAGGGGAAAATACAGAACCTTAGATACTGGACATCTGGTAAAGAAACCGTTTATTCATTTGGTTGCAGAGATCTCTCTGTAGCCCCAGGAACACAAAAACTTTTTGCTAATTAGCATGTGACTCAGTCCAATTCCTGTGGTTGATGATCCATCCAGCAGGGCCTTGCCCAGCTCTGTGGCTCTCAGGCTGTGTGATAGACAGTCCGACAGACCTGGGGCTTTCCCCCAGTTATGACTGAGAAAAATCCAGCAGGATCCTTGAGTTCTCCTTGTCTCTACACCTGCATAGTAGGGATAACATTACCTACTTGGCATTTAAAGCACGTGGCACACATTATTAGATTAATATCTACCATTTCCGAGCTTACTCTGTGCCAGGAACTGTCAAGAGCTCTTCCTTTGTAAGATTTAGTCCTCACAAAAAGCCTGAAAAATAACTGTGGTATTTCTTGACTTCTAAGGAGAATTTTTGTCTACATTCAACACATTTAAAATTGAATTTGGTCTTGCATTTGATGTGCACATGGTTTGTCCTGTTTTGTATAAAACTAATAAATGGATGATGCATCTTGTAATAAAAAATACAGTATGGATTTCCCCATTTTATAAATAGGGAAAAAATTTAAAAATATGAAGTAACTTGTTTAAGTCCACACATTTGGAATGTGGTGGGACAGAGAGGTGAAATGTGAACAGTCCATCTCCAAGGCCTGGGATTGTTTCATTGATTCATCACACCTGGCTGGTGCCTCTCCTCCCCCCAGCCCCTGGATTCTACTACACAGTCAGGACTTAATGGGAAAGAATCTGGTCCCACCCAGGCCTTGGGTGCCTCTTCTGCCCATTTGTTCACACCGAGTGTATTTGTCAGCATATCCCAGTGAGACATCTTTTGTTCAGTTAATCCTACATATCTGAGACAGAATTCCTCTGAGGCCTGCAGCTCAAGTTTAGTCCTCAAAGAACTAAAAGTGGACAGCTTTCATTGAGCACTTATGGGCAATGCAATGTTATAAAATATTTTATATATGGGAGACACTCTTCCACCTCCATCCCCACCACCACTAGGTTTCTTTCTAATGGTCTACCAACCCAGTCTGCCCCTAATCTTCATTTTATCCTACACATGGAATCCAATGTGGCTAATGATCTCTGTGGGTAGAAAGGAGATGAGGCTTCTACCGACACCCACACTATTAAATAGATCCAGACTTCTCTCAGAGAGTGGGCAAAGGGCTCTCTTTAGTCCTAAATGGCCAGAGTACCATGTTTTGAGGTGCTTCTGTTGTCTTTACAGGGGTTCTTCCAGTATCATCTTAGGAGTATGTCAGAACCTGTAGTTGAAATCAGTGTCCTTATAGATTACCCGGGCCATAAATACATTGACTGTGAAGACCTGCTCACACTCCAAGAAAAACTAGATTTGAACCCACTCACGTTGTGTTGAAAAATGTGAGCTCAAAATGAAGTTTAGAAAACAATCTTTAGGACTTAATTCCACCAAACTTTCGCTGTTTCATCTTTATTCTTTAAAACATCAAAAAAGTTTGTGATAAGGATCAAATAAAAGCCTTTATCCAGGTATCTAGAAAAATCTCGATGTTTTATCGCTTCAGATGGGTCTCCAATATATATTTTAGGATAATGGGTGGTGGTGGTGGTGTCAAATTTGTTGCAAATGTTTCTTAGTATTTTTTCCCCTTTTGCTTGACTTTGATGACTTTGAACTTAAAATATTTACATTGTGAAATCTTTGCCTTTGTAGTTTATTTTCTTTTTATTTATTTTTTAAAATATTTTTTTATTGGTTTCAGAGAGGAAGGGAAAGGGGGATAGAAACATCAATGATCCCCTGTTGGGGATCGAGCCAGCAACCCAAAAATGTGCCCTTAACCAGAATCGAACCCGGGACCCTTCCATCCACAGACCGACGTTCTATCCACTGAGCCAAACCAGCTAGGGCTGTAGTTTCTTTTATTGCTTTTAATCTTGATCGCTGTCCATCAAAAATTTAGACATTTACCAATATTTTTTTCTCCTTTTTAATAGTTTGATTTTTTTTTTTTTTTAAACATATAGGCTTAGCCCTGGCCAGGTAGCTCAGTTGGTTAGAGCGTTGTTCTGTTACACCAAGGTTGTGGGTTTAATCCCCGGTCAGGGCACATACAAGAAGCAACCAATGAATGCATAAATAAGTGCAACAACAAATCGATGTTTCTCTCCTCTCTTTCAAATCAATAAAAAAATGTTAAAAATCATATAGGTCAAGATAGATGTTACAATGCTATGATCTCATTAGCTTTTTCTTCCCAGATAGTTGAGCAATTCTTGTAGTGGTACCATTTATTAAATAATTCCAAGTTAAGATATTCCTAACCATGCTGGTGAGAAAAGTGGAAAGTGAGCTCAGGGCAAAGTGAGATGAGAATCAATCTGACTGGAGACTCTGATCAGCGGCACTGGGCTACAGGAGGGAAGCGCCTGGGGTGAGGAATGCAGACCCAGACCAGCCCCACTGCTGTGTAAGAACTGCTGCTGCTGTTTGAAAGGGCTGGGGAGGCAGGGGATGGAATGAAAGGAATAAAAACCGATGGGCATACTGTATACCGTAATGGTGGATACATATCAGTATGCATTTGTCAAAACCCATAGAACCGTACAACAGAGGGCGAACCCTAGTGTAAACTATGGATTCTAATAAACAACCATGTATCAATATTGGCTCATCAACCATAATAGGTGTACCACATTAGCGAAATATGTTAATAATAGGGGAGACTGTGCAGGGACAGGGGAGAGCACATGGGAACTCTGTACTAGCTGCTCTTTCCTGTAAACCTGCACTGTTATAAGAAATCAAGTTTCTTATTGTTATTTTAAAGTTGACACAGCTTATTGTTTCCCAAAAGCTGGCACTAGGCCATCAGTATCTGCATGTCCTGTTTAAAGGAAGCAGTGCAGAGGGAGGTCAAGAACTGAGGGGTAGAAACTTGGTGTACTGACCAAAAGTGTCAATTAAAGATTCTTCTTGCCCTCGCTGGTTTGGCTCAGTGGATAGAGCGTTGGTCTATCTGGACACATGCTTGGGTTGCAGGCTTGATCCCCAGTGTGAGCATGCAAAAGGCAGCCGATCAATGATTTTCTCTCATCATTGATTTTTCCATCTCTCTCCCTCTCCCTTCCCCTCTGAAATTATATATATTATTCTTTCCCCCAAAAAAAGACCAGAAGTGCACTATAGTGTATTTCAATTGGGTATTTTATTGTTCTGGCAACTGCAAAATATACAAATTTCTGAAAGGCAGCCCCTGTGTGAAAGCCGGCACAGCTTCATCCCAGATAATTAATTCACACAAATATACAGAATGCAGAGAAGTCTTAAGTCGCACGTAAAAGGCCCCAAACCAACCGACAAACAACAACCCAATGTAAGAAATTATCTATGTTCAAGCTCCTTTATACACATTAAATAAATAAATAGCACATTTGCTATCAAAATAATAAAAAAATAACTTTCAAGTATTACAAACGAAATCATCATTGGTGTGGTTCAAACAGTTCTTCTCCTCCCCCCAAATGAAGAGTTTTGTCCAGGGTCTCAGGACAGAAAAAGGAGAGGGGTACACCTACCCAAAAACAAATATGCAAAGTTAAAAAAATTGGTCCCAGATATTTTTTGGGTGGGGTTGAGGGGGAGTGAGAGGCAATAAAGTAGCAAGTGCTCCGTGCCTGCAGCTCCCATACACCCTCCATCCAACACCTCCTCAGAGGTGACCTCAGCAGCATTCTGCTCCTCCCAAGGCTCCCTCCCCATCCATATTCATGCCTATGCCCCACCCCAGGCCCTTACAACTATGTTCTGTGGGAGGCAAAGCCTCATTTGTCTGTACCTACTTCAGGCTGTCAGAGGCAAGGGTGTGCACCTTCATGCAGCCCCACTCAAATCGGCTGTAAGAGTCAAAAACCAGAGCTAGCTCTGACAACCAGGAAGAGAATTCCAGAAAGTGGGACACAGTGACATCTTCCTCAAGAGCAGAACCACAGGCCCCTCTGCCTAAATATACGACCACCCTACAAGCACACACTTGTGTCAACTGGACACAAGATAGCGAGAAAGAGGGAAAATAACCTATCTTCAGTGGTAAAGAATGTTACATACAGATCCTCTCAGGCAGACTGCCAAGTAAGGGGCAGGGGTTGAGTGATTTGGTGTGACAACCTCCAATTTTATTGTATGGTATCTGAAGCGTGTTCCACTTCCCAAGTAATCCCAATCAGAGAAGCGTACACTCTCTAAAAGCTCCTCTCAAGTAAAAATAGCTGTTCTCTCCACTTCCCACTCCCTCTGTCTCAGCCTGCCCACGCCTGCTCTCAGCTAGCTCACAGGCCAAGCAGGGTGAGGATGTCAGGCTCAAAAGCAGAGGGCAGGAAAGGAACATGACCTTTGGCACCAGCTTTTAGAAAGATCCTCAAAGGTCATTTGGACAAAAGCTGTCTCCAAACCGTTTCTTCTGGACCTCAGGACACCCTCTACTTGGAGGCAACAAGGATAGAAACTACAGGTATTTAGAATCACATGTTCCCCAATTCCTGCTTGAAAGAGCCCCCCCAAAAATGTCACAGGTGTCACTAAGGCAAGAGAGGACATTGCCCGAGGAACCCACACCATGCTCGGCATACAGCAGATGCTCCATGAAAACGTGCGGGAATGAGCCGACTCCTGCGGGAGGCCATGAACATAGCCTCTTGGAGGAAGTGGCCCAGAGTGAGGCCTGGCTTGGGCCACTGTCCCCACCTGGGAAACATAGGAAGTGATGAATGTCCTGAAGGAAGGAGGCTGGATCCTTGTTCTCCATGCTGTCTCCCGGGGGCTGTCTTGCAATGATCTGAGCGCTTGCTCCCAGCCGTTTACTGGGGTTCCTCTGCGCCCCCCATCTCATGGGAATGCCTGACTCCCCACATTCTTCAAGAGCTCTAGCCCCCAGGGGCACAAAACCCAAACATCTAAATTCCTGAAGGGAAGGTATGATGTTCAGGTCACATGTTCTGCCAGAAAAATTTCAAAGCAAAGCAGCCCCAGGGAAGCCATGTCTTGCTCAGGTGCCTCTGATCCGGGCCTGCGGCAGAGGGACCACGCAGCTCCCGGGAAGGGTGAGGCCCCGGTGCCATTTCCTCTTGCCAACACCGCCAGACTGTCCAACATCTTCAGCGGCTGAGCACAGACCTGGGACGGTGTGTGGACACGGAGAGGGTCACTGCTTAGTTGATGAGCGAGTCCAGCTCAGGGACTTCTGTCTGCACCTCCAGACTGGCTCTCTGGCCGGCTCCACCCCAGCAACTCATCTTTTCTTCACAGGTCAACATCCCAGGCAAAGATGCCCCAACAAGCCTTATGAAAGTTTTCTACGTCCCTGAACTGTCAGCAACTGGGACCTAGGCCCCTTTAATGTTAGGATTCTGAGACCAATGTCATTTTCCCAGCTGGGAACATTCCAGGCCAAGGTCACAGACATGAAACAGAAAAACAGCATGAGGTGCCCAACGTCCGTCCCCTCCTCGGGGCCTTCTCACCTCCTCCACAGCTCATTGTCCTCACCAAGTCTTATGAAGGGTCCGTGAGGCCACACAGCCTGGACAGTGGGGAGAGCATGGGATGGGGGTGGCCACAGAAGCATAGATTCTGTGCACACACAGGAAAGGCGTGCTGGGGTCTTGGCCGCCCAGGTGCTGTTGGGAGCAGAGGTTCACTTTGACCAGCAGACCCTTCTTCTACACCGCCCATCCCTTTCCGGGAGAAGCCGTTGGCATGGTCGGCCTCGGTGGAGGGAAGAGCCCTACCTAAGCTGCGGGAATGGAAATGGAATGGAACCGATGGGTCTGCCTCAGTGTGTCTGGGAGGAGTCGACGCTGCTCTGGGAGCCATTCATGTTCTGTTTTCAGGAGAAAAAGGGTGGGGAAGGGGAATTATTAGTTGACTAGGTTTCCAAAGCAAAAGACTAAAACCATGCAATTGAGACTTCAACCCCCCTCCCCCCAAACAAAAAACACAATCCCGGGAGAACATTAGTAACCAAACTGGTGGCAGTTGCCCAGGGAGGCCCCAGGAACATGTGGAGGTGAAGGCCAGGGTCACACAGGAGAAGGGCCTCATGGCAGAGGAAGGAGAAGAGGGACAGCAGGCAGCTTGTAGGTCAGAGCTGTCCTGGGGAGCAATGGGGCCAGCACGTAGAGGACCCTCCTCAGCTCACAGCCCTTGAGAGCCGCGGGGCTGCCCCTGCCCCGGGAAGTCTTGTTGCCCACGACAGGCAGATGCTCCAGGAGGCCCTCTAGAAAAGCATACGGACTCTCCTCCCCACTCGGCTCAGGCAGGGCCGCACACCTCAGCCCCTGAGATCCAGATCCTAGGAACACGAGCTCGGCAGCTGGAGCACAGGTGCCGCGAGCAGGCTGGACGTGGGCATTGTCACTAAAGCTCTCTTCCCGTTCTCATAAAAGTAATCCCAGCCAGAAGCTTCACCTGTAAGAAGCTGGCCAGTACCAAACCCCGCCAAAAAATGTTTTTCTATCAGCAGCGGGTCTCTTTAACCTCCTTAATTTACCCACCAAAAAGGGAGACTCTTTTTAAAAAGTGTTCTCTCCCATCCTGAGTGTCTACGCCAAGATTGTCTGATAGGACAGGGGTACAGAGTGGAACCCAGAGAGACAAATATGCAAGGATCGCCTGGGCCCACTCCCTTCCCTGCAGAGCCAAGGGCCCTGGTGCAGGAATCCCGACAGAAGAGAAGCCCAGGCTGGGAGCACTGAAGGCCAGATCTGAGCCTGCTCTCAGCTGGACTCAGGAGCCCAGGCGACCGGACCTCCAACTACAGTACATCAGACAGTCTCTGTGAAGTGGGTGTCTGTTGGGGAAGACTCTGTAGCCTCGAAACCAGAGAGGACCCAGTCAACTTGTAGGGTCAGAGCGAGGTGCTGCCCAGCTGCCTCCAACCCGCCCTCACACACGTCAAGCCTGACTCCGAGCACCCACAAATGATGGCAACGGGACAATGACACAGGAGGCCGCAGGCACAGGCATTGTCAAACCATTCACTCATGGTGTCCCTGGCTCAGGACACATGGAGGGAAAGGAGGAAGTGAGAGAGGGGACCTCAGGACAATGGTGCTGCTCTTAAAAAAATCATGAGTTCTCTGGCATGGGGTGTATGAGTCACACACTTCACAATGGCCAGTCTTCACACAGACCAAGGCGCCCTGCCAGGCAGAGATGCCATGACTCAGAGAGATGCGGAGCGAACTGAGAGGGGCATGCACCGAGCCATTTACCTTTCCAAGGTTAGTAAGGAGAAAACTTTGAGAAAATGTGACAGACAGTTCGTCTTTCAAGCATAGTGGGGGCAAAGGAAGAAACATGTTGGAAAAGAAAAAACAAAACACATCTTACTTAGGTAGCATTTTGTTGTTAGTGTGCATTTGAAATTTCCAAGTCAAGGATGCATGGTGAATGGCTGGCCCCAAGCACAGGATACAGCCCCCAGGACTGGACTGGAGGACACCACATTGGCTGGGCCGTCATGCTCGCTTTGTTGGGAAACCACATTTACGGGCATCCTCCAACCACAGCCCTTAAGATCCCAGGGGTTCCCCCACTCCCCAGCCTCTTGGTGCTCCTGCTGCTCATGAGAAGAAATGCCACTGGCCTGTGCAGAGGGAACAGGGGGGCATCAAAATGCAGAGTGGAGTGCAAGCCAGAGCGCTGGACGTCCCCACCAAGGCACAGGGCACCATCTCTCCCACCATAATGACTATCGGCCACAGGGCACTGACTACGTGCCAGAGATTCTGTAAGTGTTACATTATCAAAACACCTCGCCATGTTCCTAACTCCATTTCACAGATGAGGAGGTTGGAGTCCTAGAATGACACCACCTTGCCCAGAGTTCCAAATTGAGAGGGTAGTAGAACCAAGATCCAAACCCGGTTCAGTGTGACTCTAACAATACATTTTGGGAACTACAGCTCCAGATAAGGACTTGTGCTCCCAGGCTGGGCTGAGTGCTGAAATCCCAGAGTGAATGCAGGTGTGAAGGGTCCAGAGAACTGGAAGGAGACTAGCCAAAGGTGCTGTTTAGCCTTAGAGATGGGCAAGTTCAAGCTTAGTATGTAGGGGAAGTGCCCAAATGGCCCCCTCCAGCAGGAAGATTTCTTTCCTGGCAGCTCCAGGCCATGAGTCAAAAGAAACAGGAGATGCACAGATGCATGGGGCAGTGGCTCCTAAAGCCTGAATTTCATGGACACGCCCACATTAAGTAAACACACCTCAGCCATGGGAAACAGCTGCATGGGAGAGGCCGCAAGAGCTAAAAGGGAAATCAAACAGCGCCAGGCAGTGTCCCACAGGCGGCAAACGTCAGGTGCCCAAGGCAGGGGCAGGGAAACAGTATCTTGACTGTTCCCAGAAACCAGCCCAGAGAAAGCAGCCAGCCTCAGGACAGGGAGGCCTGGTCAAGTCCTGGTTCTGCCACTCACCGGCTGACCTGGGCCCTCGTCTGCTAAACGGGGATAGCAACTGCCCTCAGACATCCTGGGGTTAAGGATCAAAGACAGGAGATTATGTGCAAGCAGTACAGGTGGTGCCGCCTAATCTAAGCGCCCAACAACTCCTGTTTTCCCAGAGCAAGCCGAGCTTTTAAGCTTATCAGGCTGACCTCCTAAAGGCCTTTGGCTCCTGCATGAATCGGTGGAGGGGCCCTAATCAGCAAAAGGGATCAGGGGTAGGTGCGCTTGAGGGGTTGGAGAGGGTGATATTTCGGGTGGCTGTTCTGAAACTGCAATATAAAGGCCTCGGTTCCTTCTGTAGTTGGGGCCCACCGGAGCACTGGAAACGCTCTAGCTAACACAACCAGAACGTTCTGCAGAGAGCTCTGGCTGTAGGAAAGGGGAAGCCAAATGGGTCTGACTCGAAAGCTGGCCCCAATCCTGAACATGACTATTAAGGCTGAGCAGGTTCCCATACAGGACAACCTGATTCAAAACAACGGTTTCCAATCAGACCGCTCCAAAGTGTGGGGGTCCTGGAGCCCCAAGGGTGGGAGGTGGGGGGGTGGGAGTCCCTGCCCGGACAAGAGGGAGAGGCTGCAGCGCCTCTTTCTGTTTTGCAGATTAGGCTCTGGGTAAATGTTCCCCTAGGAATGAAAGGACTCTCCTAGGGGAGACACAGAATTTTAAAAAACAGTAGCAGGCAGAAGACTTAGCTCACCACCAAAATCTGATGCCAAGGGGGACAAATGAGATTTAGCACTAACAGTAACCCAGGATGCCGAGAGGGAGTGACGCAGACAACAGCTGGGCCGTAATTACTTTCGCGTCTTGTGCTACAAATTCATGAATCCCTCCTCTCCCTCCTTCAGTGCCCATCTTGCCTCCTTCATATTTCACAAAAACTGTCGTTAACCTCAACATTTTAACAGATAGGAGGCCAAACTGGCAAGCAAGGAGAAAAAGGTGCTAGCAGCAAAATCATACAGAGAAAAATACTTACAAACAGGCTTTCCCTAGCAAAGGCTGCAGAGAGAAAAGGTTGAGAGAGAGGTCAGTAGAAGGACAGGGTACAAGGCCCAGGTCCCTCTGCTGGGACCCCCAGCCTGGCCCAGCTTCCAGACTCCCTGAGGATTCAGCTCAGCAACCCCGAAGGACTGTCCTGCCAAAGTTGGGAGAGCCCCAGCTATGCATCCTCCGTGACGGGGGATAGTGCAGTCCCACACACCCGCCGCTGAACCCAGCCCAGGCCAGTCCCTGCAAGTGTCAGTGACAGGAGCCTCTAAACTTCCAACTGTGGCCCCAGTTTACACCAAAACAATGTCATAGATGTACCACATAGAACTTCAGTTCTGTTTTCATAAAAAAACAAAAAACAAACCCTCAATTTTAGACCTAAAAGGAATATTAATTAGATATCCCCAAGTCCTACCCCCTCATTTGGAAAAAGGAGATTGAAGGCCAGGGAGGGATGTAACCTGACAATAAAATCCTACAGGTAGTGCCAGGGGCAGATACTGTGCTTGATGCTCAGCACTTATTCCCTCTTTGATCTGCTGTGGCAGTTGGCATTATTCCCCTATTCTCCAACTGAGAAAACCGAGGCCTGAAGAGGTTCAGTGACCTGCCCAAGACGGCACAGCACCTGTCCCCACATCCCATTTCCAGACACCACAGGACTTAAATGAGCTTCAGGCAAAATGCAGGGAGAGTACAGGCCTCCGCACCGAACTCAGACAAATCCAATTCAAAGTTAGCCGTGACTTATTTGTAAGAGATAGGCCTGGTGGGTGGAGGTGGGGGAAGACCCTGGGTGGGACCCAAATTTGTGCCCAGAGATTTCTATGTGTCACAGAATCTTGGCTGTCATTTCTAAAAACCAATCTTAATTTGTTCGCCCAGTAGCGGAGATATTTCAGCCTTTAATCTTCACAGGGAATAAAGTGAAGTCTAGTTGGTTTTTGCTTTTGGTTTTTTCGCTACCTGCCAAAGTAACTGTTGTGAGAAAGTGGCTGTATCCAGACCATCCAGCCCTGGGAGTTAGGCTGCCCAGGTGCCCACTGGACCATGTGGGTTCCGGCTAAGGACATTCTCTGAGGGCCCCCTTTGACTACAGCTTTTCCACAATGGGAAGCCACAGTGAGAAAGGAAGGAGAAATACTCAGCCATGGGCCTGGGACAGAAAAGACGTCCTCAGGCCATGCAGAAGCCAACGGCCCAGACTGCATGGAGACTTCCAACCTAGGGGCTGCCTTCCACACTGCTTTGCAAAACCTATCCACGAACATGAGAGGACATAGACATCACCATTTCTCCTGTTCTGCCCGGTTCTGCCCAGTGAAGGGAACCTCCTCAGAAGGCAGGTATGCACGCTCACAGCCATGGTCAGGAAGGACCAGACGGGACCTCCAGGATGTTACAAACTTCAGACGCTATCCCGTGTTCTTCCCCTCCCCCACCCACATGCAGGCCTGGGTCTGAGGCTATGGTGGTACCCAAGGGCAGTCTCTCCATCCAGACAGGAGACACGACGGCCAGGAAGGAAAAGGGGGGGGTCACGCACTTGTCCAGGCAGCTGCGCGGGCACCTCCGGGGGCAGGCAGTTGGGCAGGGCAGCGGAGGTAGAGGCCACATGCTCCTCAAAGCTGTTGATGCGAGGCTTTTTGGTGGGCTCGGGGCTGGCTAGTGGGGTGACACTATTGCGTCTCATGAGTGGGTTAGGTCCCTTCTTTGCGTCCTAAGCGAGACAAAGACAAAAGAGAGAAGGCGACAGTTACACGGAGAAGGGAGGTAAATAAGCCAAAAAAAAAAAAAAAAAAAACCAAACCCAATCAAAACACGTTTCTCTGCTTCTGGAGTTTACTGACAGGACAAGACCGACCAAGGTGAACGGCCCTGGGACTCGGGTTGCCATTCTGTCTTGCATCTCGCGGTCGACAAGGGATGATCTCCTCCTGAGGCCCTTTTCCGGATCATCCCAAGACACCCACCCAGACAAGCTCGACGTTCACAAAGCAGGCGAGGGGAGAACAGCAGGACCAATTCTGACAGTCATTCAGTTACAGTGGACAACGAGGTGGGAGAGAAGAACCTTGCTGCCAGCCTCCAAGGAGGGGCATGGAGGGAAGAGAGGCCTGGGTGTGAGCTCGGGGAAGGGGACAGGACAGCAGGAGGACAGGAGGGCAGGAGGGAGGTGTCGGTGCTGACGCCCCCGTACTGACCGCAAGCCAAGATCTGCAGAGCAGGCATAGAACTGCTCCTGCATCCAGCCTACACCCAGCTCAGGACAGGAAAGGCGGGTTCCAAAGCCAGCCAGGAGACACAAGACCGGAGGGAGGCAGAAACAGCCAGCCAGAGCCAAACACTAGCCTTCTGACCAAGTGACAATGCGATTGGAGCGATCCCCGTGGCCTGTCACTGTAGCTTGTGACCCGGGAGCCTGCATTGGAGTCTGTCTCCACCAAGGACCTGCCCCGGTTCTGCACAGTGTTCAGGGACCATCAGAGCCCTGTGCAGCCAAACCCCGAAGCTGGGGGGTCCGGTTGGGAGGCTGCTCCGCACGGAGCCAGAGGAGATGCAGCATCCGCCACCCACAGATGTCCAGAGAGGAGGGTCACAGAGCCAGGGGATGCTGCCCTCTTGCGTTTCAGTCAACCAGCCAGGCAACTGCCGGTGGAAGCCAGGGTTTTAATGCCAAAATCTTCTGGTCAGGCTCCCAGGGAACAGGAAAGTCCCCTGCACAGTCGGGCATGTCATACTCGGTGTACAGGAAAGTGTGGGACTGATGCTGCCAAAGCACCACATTTCGGCAGTCGGTACAAAGTAAATTCCAACTTTCTTCCATGACATACACGTGGGCAGAGAGTGGCTCTGCCCTGGGGAGAGCCCGCCAGACCGACCACCAGATCGCAGACCTCCCAGAGGACGATCGAATACAACCAGGCTCTGGTGTCTCCTGGAAAACTTTCCACCCACCATCCCTCCTGTCCCTAATTTCCAAATCATACGTTTCTCCACCCGGCCAGCATGGCTCAGTGGTTGAGTGTCAACCTCTGAACCAGCAGGTCACGGTTGGATTCCCGGTCAGGGCACATGCCCAGGTTGCAGGCTCGGTCCCCAGTGTCGGGCATGCAGGAGGCAGCTGATCAGTGATTCTCGAATCATTGATGTTTCTATCTCTCTTTCCCCTCTCCCTTCCACTCTGAAATCAATAAAAACATGTTTTTTAAAAAAAAACGTATGTTTCTCCAGTCCCACTTCCCTTTTCACTATTACCCTTTCCTGGTAATTCTGTACCTACGCACAAAGAGGTGACCGTTTTAACCAGTGGCTCTGGAAACTGAAAGCAGTTTTAGCTGCCTCAAAGGAAAAGGCAACAATATTTGTGCTGTGATTACAGTTAAAGAGCAGAATGTGTCTCCCTCGTTACTACTCGCTTCTCGGGTCAAGGAGAAATAGGGGAAGAAAGCATGGAAAGAGAAAGAAAGAAGACGGCAAGAAGCCACAAGAAAGACAGGGCAGGAGCGCACAGATGCTGAGAAAAGGGAGAGGAGAAAGTCACCCAGGCCCTCCCGGTTCCAACAAACTACCTCTGCTAGAACCGAGACTTCCTTCAGCGTTTACAGGCAACACCATACTAGGGACTTCCCAAGAGCTCACACGTATGGGTCCCGCCCCTGGACAGTCCTCGGAATGGAGGACAGAAAAGGGTGCTAAAGGGTGGAGGCCCGGAGCTTCCACTCACCTCTGACCTCTCCCGGTGTGTGTTCACGGACTCCACATTCAGGTAGATGGATTCTACGCGGCAGCCTGGCCGGGGGAGAGAGCAGCTCATGGTGAAAGGGGACAAGCCGCTTGCAGCCCCGCAGCCACCAGGAGCCACCATCCCAGGGCGGCAGGGCTCGCGCGGCACGGCCTGTGTCACCACACTCACCGTAAGCGACTGGCGTCAGCTTCAGGACGGTGTGAAGGGGGCATCTCAGGTAAGGCATTTCCTCTGAAAAGATGAGAAAGGGCCCCACGATCAGACACGAGACTTGGGGATGGACATTCCCAGGCCCCCAGCGAGAGCTCGGCCAGGTCCGACCCTCAGCGGCATCTCCCCGGCCCCACCCTCACAAGGCCCTCCCTGAAGGCAGACGGCCTGAGAAAAGACACCTAGCCCAAAGAACAAATCAGAGCAAACCCCACACCCGCTCTCACAGAATGAGTTATAGTTAAAAATAAAAATAAAAAAGTGTGTCAGGATTCAGCTGAACCTCTGGCTGACTCAGACTTAAATTTTCAGGTAGAGCTTTCTGGGCTGTTTGTTTATTCGGGGTGGGGGGGCTGCAGAGACGAGCTGGCCCCTCCCCACCCGGCCCAAAGCCGCTAAGAGAGTGGACGAGGGCTTTCAGGGGCTGTGAATGAAGCTGTTGGCCCACCATGCCTACATCCTGCTATGACGGTTCCCAGGGGCTGGCCTGAGGGCCCTCAGAAGCACAACAGCAACCTGCGCAGGTCGGGTAAGGCAGGACCAGGTCCGCTGCTACCCCAAACTCAGAGGCCATTTTCCCCTCCTCCTTTCATGATGGCAGCCAGCTCCCAGCCCCCCTCCCCCAGGACGCTTTGGGGGATGCGGCACCTGCACTCTTATCCAGGAAGTAGGCCAGCAGGCAGCGCAGGACGGCCTGGTGGCAGATGACCAGCACATTCTCCTGCCGCTCCAGCTCCATGATCACTGGCTCCAGGCGCTGGACCAGGTCCTGGTAGGACTGCAAGACAGAGGGACAGAGGGAAAGGCGCTGTGCTGGAGCCGCACACACAGGAAGGCGAGAGCTGGGCCACCTTGGCCCCCCTCACTATGAACTAGAGGATGTAAGATCGATCAGTAACACCCTGGCGTGTCTTAGTGCTGCTGCCTATGGGCCCTGGGAACCCACCCCAGCGGGCTCCCTCAGAAAAGGAAATCGCCCGTGTGCTGCTGAGGATGTGGAGAGGCGATCCTGAGAGGACACCGGCCTGCACCCTCCCTCTCACCGCTCCTTCCCTTTCCTGACCCTCTGCACGGGCAGTGAGGACTGAAGTCCGACACACGCTGCAGCGTGGATGGACCTCGAAAACGGTACACAAAGTGACAGGAGCCAGACACCCAAGTCCGCCTATTGTACAATCCCATTTATATAAAATGCCCAGAACAGGCAACTCCACAGGAAGCAGATCCGTGGCTGCCAGGAGCTGGAGGTAGGAGAATGGAGACTGACCGCTAACAGGTTGGGGTTTCTTTTTGGAGTGATGGAATGTTCTAGACCTAGTGGTGATGGTTGCTTGGTATTGTGAATATACTAAAAATCACTGGAATACATACTTAAAAATGGTTAAAACAGTGAGTTTTATATTATGTAAATTTTATGTCAATAAAAATAAGTTGAAAAAGGCTTCTCTGCTGTCCCCCTTCCTTCTCTTACTAACCAGGTCCCAGGAACGAGGGCCAGGGTGACACAAAAGGATAGCACCTTGGGCTATGGGGAAACTGAGATGACAGGCCCCAGATGGGCAGAGCTCCCGCTCGGAGTCACCTGCCGTGGACGCCCAGAGCACCACCTGCTTCCCAGACTCTCCGACCAGGGCTCTAAGCAGCTGCTCAGTCGGCCTAAGTGAGCTATGTACACAGCCTTTGGGGACTGCCCGCATCAGGGCCAATTCAGTCAGCCCAGTGACGCGATGGCGTGTCTGCATCTCGCCTGCGGTCAAGGGGAGAACCCTCGCACCCGCCACTGCTGTTCCTTCCCGCACTTGTGTGTGTCGTTAGAGAAACACATCTCTCACTGTGGCTCATGGTACTTCCCTTGGAGCTGTTTACAGGTTCAGTGCAGGAAAACCCGCCTCAAAGGTGAAAGTGCCAGGAACAAGCATCAGAACCACACGTGGGTCACTGTGCACAGTAATGGTCCGTGGGGGTGCCCAGCGGCCCCCTCTCGGGCTAGCCCAACACCGCGGCCCCTGAAGGACCGTCGTGAGCTCCTCCAGGCACAGCACACAGCAGCTCCACCTGACCATTGCTCGCCGAGTGGACAATGACCCTTGGAGGAAGGGGCAGCAGTGCCAGCACACGTACCTCCCCGGTGGGGTACCGGTAGTAGTACTTGTCCTGCTCGCGCAGAGCGTACTCCTCAGGGTAGGTGTCCTTGATCTCCTCGTAGGTCATCTCCTCACAGACACCCTGGAGAAAACAGCCCGGTCACCTTGAGTTGGTCAACACAGCCCGTGTGGTCTGAAAGGGCTCTCAGGATTTCCAGCAGATTCGGCAAGAGGCTTCCTGGCCCTCTCGCTCCTGCCCCCCGACGGCCACAGCCAGACCCAGAACTCACAGCATCGATTTCGTTGAGCGCTTTCCACTGCTCATAGGGAAGCTGAAGGGCTTCTGCCGTCTGGATGGTGCTCTTCAGCTGGCTGGCCCACACCTTGAGGTCCTTCAGGTTCTGCTCCTCCACAAATTTGCTCAGGGCGTTGGCAAACTGAGGGCAGGGACAAGAGGGACACACACTGGACTCCAGGCTCCTGTGCCGCCTGGACAGGCAGTGCAGGGCTCGTTCCCTGCACTGGGGACGGTCACTAGAATGGTGAGGAGGAGGCAACTGAGGAGCCACACACCCTCCTTACAGCCCTGGAGACGTTCCCTTCTCATCCACACAAACACAGGCACACACACAGGAACACATATACATACAGAGATACACACACACACAAATGTAGACATATACACGCATGGACACACAGACACACACACAGAGACACACATGTATACAGACACACTCACACCCCACCCCTGAGCCCCTTACCTCCCCCCCCCCCCTTTCCCCCCCAGTTCCCCTCCTACCTTCCTGCCCCTGACGGACAGGCCTGAGTCCCCTCCGATCTTCCCCTGGAGGTTGTGCTCGCTCTCTCCGTGCCGACACAGGTAGATGGTGCGGGGCTGCACGTGGATGTTCATCAGGTAGTACACAATACGGCTCTGAATGTGGTCCTGAACTCTGTTCACCAAGAACCGCCGGCCCACATCGATCACCTTGATCAAGGACAGGTCCCTGCAGAGGAAGGTGACCAGCAGGTCAGAACCCACTCCCCCCATCAGCGCAGCACCCGGCTGGGGTCAAAGGCAGAGACTGGCCCCAACAGAACCACACCGTCAGGTAACTTTTGTCGTCCTGGAGGGCACAGTCTGCATCTACGTGATCTAACAGTGTGAGTTTGTAACTCACACAGCAGAGTGTGTGGTCGAGAGGCTGATGGCCTCCCAGAGGAGGGGGAGAGAAAAGCAAAAGAAGGGAAAGAAAAGAGAGGCCATGCCAAAGGGACCCAGCAAGACTGGGCTGGATATTCACTTCCTGCACTTCTACATAGCTAATATCTGAAACAGTTACACTGGACATGCAGTGAAGGATTTTCTTCAAAAGATATTTTACAAGACAGTTCCTGAAAGTATCTAGGAGCAATTGCATTGTGGGAACTTAAAAGCCCTAAAGTTGGTGATTCAGAGAGGAACTACCTCCGAAGAACTACCTGTCATATTTGTCGGGGTCGAGGGGCTGATAGCTGGCTTCATAGAAGTCCTCCATGGCCTCTGCTGAGTTGCAGTCTTTGTAATCCGGGCTGGAGATTTTCACTTCCTGTAACACCACAAAGGGGCAGCTCATGAATCATGCTGGAGGCTTTCTGCTTAGCTAAAGCAGGATTTGGGGAAAGCACAGACAGCCTTGGAATAATGATGATCCGAACCAGTGTTTAAGGGAAGAAGGAAATACACTGGTGCTGAGTCATAACCCGACAATTACGCGTGGAGGACACCATGGTAGACAAAGGATCACTGACTGGATGGACAGAGACGGGGGACCCCCGAGGGGTCTAATGAACACTTCTGAATCGGCCACGATTCGGGATCAACCCAGTAGGCATGTCACCTTCAGCATCCCAGCCCTCAATAACTGATCACCCACCACTGCTGTTCCTTGTAAGCTTACTCCGTGTAAGCAGCTGTGACATTCTCCACACCAAGAACAGGCTTTCGGTTAGCAAAGCTGCATCCGGTACTGCTGCAATGGCCCTGGCTCTGGGTGGCAGGCAGGATGCTTCCTCCACCGCCCGTAGACAGGCAGCAACCAGTCCATGGCTAGCACTTTTCTAACTCAGGCCCAGTCCCTTCCAAGGTTCGCTCTTATGGGAAGGAGATGGAGGAGAACCAACTCTCGAGCCTGCCATCTCCTCCTCGACGTGAACAATAGATCTGAGCAACCTGGCAGATTGTAGGGAAAACTCTGAATTTTTTAATGCATGTGTGCTTTTCCTCAACAACTACCACAGCCACAAAAGAGAGGCAGCTACTCTTTCAACATCCAAGTCCAGTGGGGAGTTGGTGTTTCATGGTGCAGAGCTTCAATCTGAGAAGACGAAAAAGTTCTAGAGCTCGATGGTGGTGGTTGCACAATCGTGTGACTATGCTGAAGGCCATGGAACGGATCCCTTAAAAACACATCTTTTCTCCCAGCACAGCCACCCACACAAAGAGGAGAGTTAAGCCGCAAAGTCGCTTTGAGCTTAATCAGAGAAAGAGGCTTCTGATCACGGGGGTCGGGGCGAGTGACTCCTGGCCACACACATGGTGACAGCTGGTCACCGGGAAGTGACTTTGCAGCGACTCTGTCCTTTCCTACCAAGTGGAGCTGGTAGAACCAAACCAAAGAAATACAGCAAAACCCTTTGTTTAGATTACAACGACTTCTGTTTCCTCGTCCTCTGAGCCTCTTCCGCTGAAACCACTCTGGACTGATTTTCCACAACTTGAATAGCCCTTCCTGGACTATGAAGTCACTTCTTAGAAATGCGTGTAAATATTCCCACTGCCTTGGACAGTGGTTCTCAATCTTCCTAATGCCGCGACCCTTTAATACAGTTCCTCATGTTGTGGTGACCCCCAACCATAAAATTATTTTCGTTGCTACTTCATAACTGTAATTTTGCTACTGTTATGAATCGTAATGTAAATATCTGATATGCAGGATGTATTTTCATTGTTACAAATTGAACATAATTAAAGCATAGTGATTAGTCACAAAAACAATATGTAATTATATATGTGTTTTCCGATGGTCTTAGGCGACCCCTGTGAAAGGGTCGTTCAACCCCCAAAGGGGTCTCAACCCACAAGTTGAGAACCGCTGGCCTTGGAGAACAGGCCCAATACCCGAAGCTCATGAGCATTCAACACCCTTTTAAAGGTGCACACTTATATGTAGCGACACCACACCATGCCCTGTGGCAATACCAGACGTGTAGCTGTGTCTTATTCTGATGTATTTAAGCTAGATGGAAAATTATCTAGAAGGTGACTTGTGGTAAAGTCTTCCCAGTAACTGTTTCTATTTACAATATACTGTTATCAAGTGATGCAATTTAAGAATTAATCAAATTAAGCTGCCAATTACCCTCAGTTTATCTGGGCAACCTTCTCTTGGCACAGGGAGAGGAGGCGGATATGTTGTAGATTCACCAGCAGGAAGATAGTTTGACTACTCCCAAGCTTGCCAAACTAGGAGATCTGCCTTTAGTCCATTGAGTCCTATGGCTGTTGTCAATCCACAACCACTTACCTGCCTGGAGGGGTGAGCGCCCCTTGCCCCAAGCAACCCCGTCACCACCCAGCCACCAAGCTACTGCCACCCACAGAAACTGTTCCCGGACCCTGCCTTACCGCCCATGTGCCACAGTAAGTGCCTTCTGCAGACTGTCTGAAAGGGCGTGGATAAAGCCAGGCCAGATCGCAGAACATGCTTCTACGTTAAATGCCACTCTGCACTTCTGACCTCCCTGGATCCCACCTCCCAGACAAAATTAACAACAAGCTGTGAGAGGCAGCTTGTTCTCAGAGTCTAGGTACTTCTCTGGGCTGACCTGGTTCCCCGCTTTTCTCAGACTCCGCCACTAGAGCAGGGGTCCTGCGTTGTCTTACCCTAATGTTGGAGGCCACAACAGTAGGGTCATCACACACTGACTCGATGAAAAACACCTGGGAAGAAGAGAGACAGAAACGTTAGGAAGCAATAAATGTGGTAACGCAAAGGGCCAGCTTTGGTATCACTGTAATGCCATCACCATGTGTGAGGAGGAATGACACCACTCACAAATCCTCAAAACAAAAAAGTCCTGCCCCAATGGAGAGATGCCTCCCCCCACCCCACCAGTCATAGTAACCCTAAGAGCCAGCTCCAGGAAGGCCCTATCTACATGTAGCAAAACCAGGGCAGCAGGAGCTGAAGGACCAAGTATAAATCAGCTGATTCCTGAGGGTTTTCCTTTCTCCTGAGCACTCCAGGGCAAGACAAGACATTTGACTCACCTTGAAATCATTTTCTTTGGCAAAATTAAGGATCATGTGTCTCCTCTCTCTAGTAGTATTGGTGGCATCGAAAACCTGGTAGAGAGCAAGAAGGATAGTGAAGAGAACCCAAGTTTGAGTTTTAACAGTATTCACCAAGTCACCAAGGAGATCGGGCCTGTCACATCTAAGTAGAAGCCAAAAAATGTGGTTCCCGGAGAAACTGCGCCCTGCCCCACGGCCCCCCCTTCTCTCCCCTCTCCCACAAACTCCAGCTCCCAGGGAGGGAAGGGGAGGGGTGGGCACAACCCTTAAAGCAAACGAATAACAGTAACCTGCAGGGAAGGTGCATATGGAAGGGACACTGGCTCCGTGATTGCAGCCACCCCAGGTCCAGCCTGCCTTGGAGGGTGGTGCCGAGAGCACACAGAGGAGGGGTGAGCAGAGCACACCAGATGGCTCTGCCCCTGAGTCTGCCCGCTACCCACCTTCCTGGGTCCCTGTGCTACTCTAGCCACCTGCTTCCCTCAACTCTCAGGACAGAGGCACTCGTCCCTGTTTGAGGTGTCCCCACAATGGCTCTTGGTAATGGCTCGGGCTGTGTCTACATTTCACTCTCTCCAGGGCACCATTCCACTCCAGGACTGCAGATAGAGCCAGCATACTCCCGACTTACCGAAATTTGGCCCCCTTCCTTCGTCAGGTAACTTTTGACGTCTCTCAAGGCAGCGAGGGCACACTGCCTGCAACACGGAGAAAGAGAACACACATCAGAGCCTGCCCATCCGAGCAGTGACTGGCGATCCTACTGCTGAACTGCCCAGGCTGGCCAGGGCTGCCAGGCACACACCCCGCAGGCCCAGAGGCTCCCACCAGAGCTGCACAGAGGGCTGCCGTTACCGTCTGAAGTGGTGCTCATGGTGGCTGCACACTGAAACCCCCTGGGAGCTTTTAAGAAACCTATGCCCAGGTCTGGCCCGTAGATCCTCACCAGACTGGTCTGGGGTAGGCCTGGCATTGGGGTCGTTCTAAGCTCCCTGGTGATTCTAAAGTGTAGCCAGGGTTGGACACCACTGCACTTGGGTTTCATGATCACCTTGGGCTTAAAAAAAACAACACCACCCTTTTCAGTATAAACAGCTGATTTTCCATGAAAACAATTTTGTTCACTCTTAATAATGAAACATTGTTCTTAGCTGGATTAGAGCATCCGGAGCAGATAAAAGCAGCAAGCCTCAGAGCGGCCAGGAAACTCCTCTTAGTACACACGGAGGTGGGGCCAGATCTGATGGTCACCTACAGAGAGCCACCCTACAGGCCAGCTTCCTCTTTCTCTTACCAAGCCTGGCTTTCAAAAGCAAAGCAAACCAAAACCCAAAGCCTCCTGTGGCAGCTCATTAGCTCGGGCCTTACTTTCGGACTCTCATGGCCTCCTCGTTGTCAGGGCGGAAGAAGTTGTAGGAGCTGTAGTGCTTCACGGCCTCCCGGCGGTACTCTCCAACGTTGAACACTGCAGAGGGAACAGAGAGGTCACTCAGCTGGCCCCCAGGAAGAAGGGGCCACTCACAGCTGGGAACACTCTCCAAAAAGGGAAGCCAAGCCCACACACACACACACACACACACACACACACACATGCATGCGCCAACTTGAATAAGATCCCGGTAAGATGTGGAAACCAGAAAGTGAACTGCCTTGTCCAGTGCAATCACTGACCTAGAAAGCAGCCCAGCTTCCCCCAGACCAAACATGGCTCAGAGCCGCCTGCTTTTCCACAGGTTGTCGCCTCCAGCCCAGCCTCCAGTCCAGCCTCATGAGGTCAGGGGCTGGAGACTGAGGCTGTGAGAATAGGTGGCAGCCATACATCTAATGAAAACAGGCAATGATTTCTGCCGATGGTGCCCAGGAGAGAGCGGGCTTGCGCACCACGGCCGGGTCCAAATCAGCCACTCTTCTGCGGACGCGGCAGCCTGCACCCACAGGAAGCACTGAGTATTTACTGGGCACTTACTATGTGACGCACTGTGCTGGGCCCAACGGGGGACAGCAAATGTAAAAGTTAGTCCCTGTTCTTAAGACATTTCCCACACAGTTGAGAAACCAGGCAAAGATTCATCACAATATCATCAATCGTATGGAGCACTTTATGACCGTCAGTGGTGAATATCACGGGAATTTAAAGGAAAAAGATCAGCATAGACTTCGGTGGCCAGAGAAGGCTTCTTGGAGGCAAGGGCTGAGCTAGGCAGGATTCAGGGCAGAGGGACTAACAGAGCGGCCAGTCAGAAAAGATCTCAACACGAAGTAAGGGAGTGTAAACAGCATGGTGGGACACAGCCAGAAAAAGTCCCCCCATTGTAGGGAGAGATCAAGCCAAGATAGTCTAGCGTGGTGAGTCCCAGCAGCTGGAGATGGGACAGTAGGGGGGGGGCTTGGTGAGCAGGATGGCCACACGCAGAGTGACTATCAGCCTTGGGACATGGCCTCACCTTTCGTGGGGACACCAATCCAGTTGAGGTATCGAGTCAGCTTCTTGGATATGTAGGTCTTACCCCGGGCGGGGAGGCCTACCATGACAATCACCGTTGGGGAGTTGGTCAGCTTCGGCCCACAGGCTGGAAAGAGAAACAAAGAAAAGTGCATGGATGAAGCAGTGCTCAAGGATGGACACAAAATCCTGTGTCCCACAGCAAACTTAACAATTCCACAGAAATTCCTATTTCATTCCCACCTTAAAGCGATGGGCATTATACAATCCAACGGGTCCAGCGCCCCCTGGTGGCTAGAGCCCTTTAGTCACACCTTGCAGTCCATCTTGTTTTCAGGTGATGAATGACAGGAACCTTAATTCCCAGCCTGACACCAGAGCCCTAAAGCCAGCTGAGAAGTCGGTTACTAACCCCAGAGTAGAAGGCACTCCTGGGAGTGTAAGAAAGGCACTCCACCCCCTCAACACTAACTAGGATGAGGTCAACAGGTTCCAAATGCAGTATATAAATTGAGGTGGCAGGTAGGAGTGGAACATGAGCAAGTGGGGCTTCTACAGCTGAAATACAGAGAGGCCAATCATTAATTTCCCAACCTTCACACAGTAGGTCTGGATGACCTTCCTTAAAAAACTGTTTTTAAAGAAGACAAGTAAGAGTTTATCAAATGAAAGTAGGTCAGGGACCCAGAATGCAGTCCCACCCCCATCAAGAGTGACAGATAAATTCCTCTGTCCTTGAGGCTCGCCTGCCCTTTTCTGCCAAGTTCTGACTGATGCCGGGACTCTGCTTAAGAAATGGCAAGTCAAGCCCTGGCCAGGTAAGTCAGTTGGTTAGAGCATCATCCCCATATGCTAAGGTTTCGTGTTCGATCTCCGGTCAGGGCGCGTGCCAGAATCAACCACCAATGAATACATAAACAATGAGCAAGAAATTGATGTTTTTCTCTTTCTCTCTCCCCCTCTCTGAAATCAATAAATAAAAATAAAAAGGAAATGCTGGTAACAGAGTCCCAGATGCTCCAGGTCACAGAGCCTTGGCAGAGTCCCGGGAAACCCAAAAGTTCTTGCCTTGTGAATCTCCTCTGGCTTCGCTGCTTAACTACTGTCCCATGTTCCTCAGAATCTCAATAAGACAAAACACCAGGGAGAGAGGTTTTTCACTGTGTTTTAAGAAAGCAGCCAAAAAAAAAGGCATCCCAAAGAGCCCTACTCTAAACATTTCACGCACAGTATTTCCTTGGCTGGCGTCTTGCCCCTGAGACTTTCAGGCAACTCCAGTATCCTGGTGATGAGTACACGTGAGCCGGGGGCTGCCAACTGGGAGCAAGACTGGCCATCTGCCCACTCCCAGCCCAGCAGCACTGCCTGGAGCTCACTGGCTGCCACAGTCAGCCCAGCTCTCCTCATCAGCCATGCAGCACTGCTTCCCAGGCACCGGCTACAAGGGTGCAGGCAAAGGTATTCAGGCTGCACCCCAAATCTAGGCCACGGTCAAATTTAGACAGGGGCTCTGTTTCTCTCTAATAGGCGAGTGCCAGATGGGCGGGAGGAGAGAAAGCCACCAGGCCACTGACAAGCACAGGCTTGAAGGAAGAATGCCTCCTCTTAAGCTGGATGTGCCCCCACACAGACCCACACTCAGCCTGGTGACCAAACTGAGGTCAGATGTCCAAACGCCCACTACAGGTCTAGGACCTGTCCCCTGGACCTATAGGCTAGGGGCAAGGAGGAAGCAAGCATAATACACAGGGGCTGTTTCTTTCATGGTTTTGACCATCAGTTACCTCCATGCAGAGTGAGGAGGAGGAGGAGGAGGAGGAGGAGGAAGAAAGGCCATCAGGAGGATGAAGAAAGGCCATCAGGAGGCCAGGACACATTTGGGAGCCACAAAAGCTCAGGCCAACATTCCTCAGATCCCAGTGGCCATGAACAAACAAGTGCCTAGAAATTTCCCTGCCCAGCGTGATCACATGAGTAGAGGAAAGAAGCACAAAAGGGCTTTCTTGAATCCCAAGGGACAAGCAGAGAAGGGTGACAGGCTCCCCAAAAACCAACAGGAACATAAGACACACCCTACTCTATGCATTGTGGCAGCTGTAGGTGATACATGAGGGAAGTGTTCTCACGTGTGCCCCAAAATAATACTTCCTTCCCCCAAGCCATTGGTTTTTCCCTGGTCTTATCTGATGCCCCACAAAGCTACTGCTCCCAAGAGCATCCAAACATGCAGAGACAGATGGACACACCACACACACACAATCTCTGAGCTGTGCACATGTATGAAATACTTTTGTTGGACTCATGCCAAGGAAGTGGAGACAGATATTGACTGATTTATCAAATTGGAGATTAGTTCTACTATCCACTAATCATACAAATGGACTCCAAATCTCCTCTGGCAGTAGATGCTTTGGCAGGAAAAAAGCACAAAGACATGGCAGAGTAAATATCCTAAACTAAAAAATCAGGTTAAATCTCAAATCTAAATAAACCATCAGTCCTTTATTTGGCAAAGCAGAAATCGTACTTCCTATTCCTTTGGCTTATTGTATAAGATTCAAAGGAGCTGGAAGGGGGACTGCCAAAGGTGGCCACAGCTGTCCCTGGGCCCAGGTGCTCCAGGGTCGCAAATAGAACAGGAAAACTTAACTAAACCTTTGGGTCTTAATCTCCATCATCCCTCCCTACTTCTTATTTTTTTAACAGTTTACTTAATGCTCACCAGAGGGTATGTTTTTACTGATTTTTTTTTTTTTTTTTTGAGAGAGAGAGAAACATCAATGTGTTGACTCCATACATGCCCCAACCGGGGATCAAACCCACAACTTAGACATATGCCCTGACTGGGACATATGCCCTACTCAGGTCCATATACTACAACCCTCTGATGTACGGAACTGAGTAGCCAACCCTGAAAATGGTCAGCCAGAAGGACAGAGGCTGCAATTCCATACCAGCCCTACAACCAGGTAAATCTGATAATATGCTAACATACTCTCTATTAACTTCTCTGATAATATATAACCCACTAACTAAGCAGGTAGTTGACAGCTGTCCTCACCCACTATACTTACACCCACAACTCATGCTCAGAATATAAAATCAACCACTGGAAGACACTTTGCTATTGCTCCCATTCCTCCTACAAATCTTCTCCCCAGAAACCCTCCAAAATGCTAACCTCAAAAAGATGCCCAAGTCATTGTGTTCTCTTCTACAAATGGGTAAGTTATTGCTTCAATGACAAGTCCAAGGGGAACAAATAGAAGGGACTGTTTGCGTGCAGCCTTGACCAGTGTTGCTAAGTGGTAAGAGCCTTGGCACCCCCGCCCCACTACAAACCTCTGCACCGAAGGATTGTGGGTTCGATTGCAGGTCAAGGGTACAGGCCTTAGTTGCAGGTTGGATCCCAGGCACTGATCGGGGCACATGCAGAAGGCAACCGATTGATATGTCTGTCTCATAGCTCTCTCTCTCTCTCTTTCTTTCTTTCTTTCTCTCTCCCCCCTCCCTCCTTTCCACTCTTTCTAAAAATCAATGGAAAAAATATCCTCGGGTGAGGATTAACAAAAGAAAAGACAGAGGGGGTCAGTCCCCAGCAATACCTGATGGAGTTGATCATTGTGTGTTTACAGTAACCACTGAAACATACTCCCACCAGGCAAGGGCACACCAAACTCTGTACAGAAAGATCTGCTGTGACCCTGCAGTTACACCATCACCTAGGAAGGGCTCTCTGGGAAAATGACTGCATACACTTGGCCCTAGGAGAATGAAATGCAGGCTCAGAAAATGATAGCGAACACTTAACTATTGTCTACCAGACATAAACGCTCTCTGGGATCACATTAGCCCAAAGAGTCTGCTTTAGTTGATGTTTAAAACCAACATCTAAGTGAGCAAGCCCCAGGGGCTTGGCGGGAGGGGGGGAGGATGGGGCGAGAACCCGGCTGAACCAACCCCTTTTCAAAAGCTATTGTGTACTATACCATATTCATTCATTATTTTGCATGCATATTTTAACACATGCCTAACTAATCTTTGTCCAATGAATGGCCCTCCCAACCCTACATGGTCTCTGCCAAGGACACTGAGGGACAGGGCAGTTTTAGTGAATCATTTGACAACCTTGGGAGGCCATACAATACCATAGTGGCTCAGAGGGCAAGGCCTGGAGTCAAATAAAGTTCAGAGCCAGTTCCCACTGCTCCCTTGGACTTTGAACAAGTTCCTTGATCTCTCACTGTCTTAGTTTCTTTTTCTAAGTGAAATGGAGGGATGCTTCATAAAGTTTCTTGAAAGGATTAACTACAACGTAATACATGGGAAATGGTTTCTTCAGCCCCCTATGTCAACATCAGCCTTTACAGCTTTCATCAACCCAGATGAGGAAACTAAGACCCACAAGTGAAGAGAGGGCCCACCGTACAAATACTAAGAGACACGGTTGGGGCTCACAAAGTCTCTCTCACCTGAAATTCTTTAAGTGCTCTTTCCTAAATTAGTGGTTCTCCACCAGTGGCTGAACCTACAGCACTCTTAAAAAAATAGGATGCAGCCCAGACAGCATGGCTCAGTGGTTGAGCATTGACCTATGAACCAGAAGATCACGGTTCAATTCCCCATCAGGGCACATGCCCAGGTTGCAGGCTCCATCCCCAGTGGGGGGTGTGCAGGAGGCAGCCAATCAATGATTCTTTCTCATCATTGATGTTTCTATCTCTTCCTCTCCCTTCCTCTCTGAAATCAATAAAAATATATTAAAAACAAAACAGGATGCCCAGGCCTCCCCTGTGGCAATTCTGACTTGGTTTAAAGTATCATATGGAATATCCCAAGAAACTAGAAACACCAGTCAGAAAGGATATATGCACCCCTATGTTCATAGCAGCACAATTCACCATAGCTAAGATTTGGAAACAGCCTAAGTGCCCATCAGCAGAGGAGTGGATTAAAAAACTGTGGTACATCTACACAATGGAATACTATGCTGCGGTAAAAAAGAAGGAATTCTTACCATTTGCAACAGCATGGATGGAACTGGAGAGCATTATGCTAAGGCAGTGGTCAGCAAACTGCGGCCCCTTGAGTGTGGCTCTTCCACAAAATACCACGTGCAGGCAGCAAGTACAGTGCGATTGAAACTTCATGGCCACACTCAAGGGGCCAAAGAGCCGCATGTGGCTCTCGAGCCGCAGTTTGCCAACCACTGTGCTAAGGGAAATAAGCCAGTCAGAGAAAGATAAATATCACATGATCTCACTCATTTATGGAATATAATGATCATAAACTGATGAACAAAAACAGATCCAGAGACAGAGAAGCATCGATCAGACTATCAAACCTCAGAGGAAAGGTAGGGGAGGGTGGGGGTAAGGGGAAAAGATCAACCAAAGGACTTGTATACATGCATATAAGACTAACCAATGGACAGAGACAACAGGGGGATGAGGGCGTGAGTAGGGGGTTGGGAGGGTAATGGGGGGATAAGGACACATATGTAATACCTTAATCAATAAAGAAATTAAAAAAATATATATATATATATAAATAAATAAAAAATAATAAAGTATCATATGGATTCCCCACTCCCTAAAATATCCCCAAAATTATTCTAATGTGTAGCCAGGGCCAAGCATCAACAGTATAGGTAGGAATTTCTCTAAACACTCCCCCTACCTTCCTTCTTTAAACTAGAATGCCTTCAGTGGCTTTAGCCCCTGCTGAGATGAAACCCCTTCTATCAGTACACAGTATGCAACCTACTTTAATGATGAGAAAACTAAGGTTCTTTTTTTAAATTGATTTGAGAGAAATGTTGATTTGTTGTTCCACTTTTTCATTGCATTCATTGGCTGCTTCTTGGACGTGCCCTGACCAGAGCTCAAACCGGAAACCTTGGCATATGGGAACGTTGCTCTAACCAACTGAGCTACCTGAGCAGGGCCGAGAAAACTAAGGTTCTGAGTGGGTAAATAAGCAGGGACTCCCATGCAGAGGCTCTCCACTTTTACTGATGACAAAGAAAGGACAGGCAGTCCTTGCCAGTCATTTTTGACGTCCTTGTCGATGATGCTGATTGACCAATTAAGTTAAGTCTCCCCAAGTTATGGCGTGCATTTGAAGGAAGCTGCAGGCTTTATAAGAAGCATTTACCACCATGTGGGGGGTCCTAACAGGGCATCCAACGGATGTGCTTCAGAGGAAGAAATATCAAACTAATCAGTCTGGGGTTTCCTGATGTTTTATTGTTCTTTGCACAGAACAGTAATGTTCCCCCTGCCCTCAGAGGAATCTGCTGCAGACCCCCAATTACAACACCACTTAGAAAGATGGTAACAGGTTTAGAAGGAAGAAAATCCAACCAATGTTCCAAATGCCATTAAAGAAGGGGGTGGGTCAGGAAAGATGCCAAGAAAAAACACCCTGTTTTCTCCATTCCCATGGAAGACAAATGCAGCTATAGGAACCAAGAAAGACACCGCTACTTGAAATAAGGGCATGTAATAACTATTTAGGCTGCGGTTATTTTTATAAGGAAGAACACATCTGAGATTACACCTCAGAACCACACTCAGAATTCCAGAAGTAGGCGGGGAAAGGGAATTAATCCCTCAGCTTTTAGCATCCTCCACCCCACCCCCAAGCTCTGAAAGGTTCTGACAGGGATTTTTAGGCAAATCTCTCATCGGCGTGTGAAACGTGCAGACTGACAGAGTCTAATGGATGGGTCTCTGATGCCTGGAGGAAGGAAGCATCACTGCACATTTGTGTCTCTCATAATCACACGACTGGGCAAATGCAGTCAATCTGTGCCCTCTACATGGAAACTCAGGGTCATTCCTCCCAGACCTCAGCCCACCACCATGAACCTCAAGGGACTACTAAATGTGCGTGTGTGTGTGTGTGTGTGTGTGTGTGTACATACACACAAATGCATGCATTTACATAAAGAGAGAGAACCAACATATATTCATGACCAATTACAGTTTACCAAGTGCTCCATAAATACACTTTATTCCAAGTCACAAAGGGCTGAACTGAATTGTTTCTGCATCTTGCTGTAGCCAAATCTCCCTCATGATTTGAGGCACTGCATTTCTCACCACCAATAGGTTTTATAGAAATACAAGCAGACTGTGGTCAGTACAGTTTATAAACTAAGAGCATAGCTAGCCCTAGCTGGTTTGGCTCAGTGGATAGAGCATTGGCCTAAGGACTGTGGGGTCCTGGGTTCGATTCTGGTCAAGGGCACATGCCCGGGTTGCGGGCTCAACTCCCAGTAGGCGGCATGCAGGAGGAAGCCAACCAATGATTCTCTCTCATCATTGAATTCAACTTTAAAAAAAAAAAAAAAAAAGAGCATATCTAGTCCTGGCCAGTGTGCTCAGACGGTTGGGCGTCATCCCATGCATCGAAGGGATGCCAGTTCAACTCCCCGTCAGGGCACTTGCCCAGGTCTCGGGCTCAATCCCCAGTAGGGGATGTACAGGAGGCTCTCACATCAATGTTTCTCTCCCTGTCTAAAAGTCAATAAAGCATTCCTTTAAAAAAATAAAAGAGTATATCTAAAAGATGCAGACCTGCCAAACTCCCGGCTACCTTGCAAATAAACCCAGTTAGTTCTCCTTAAGGCTTCTGTGGCCCCAAGAACCCTCAGGTCCAGCAAAGGAGACAAGCTGGTGGAGGAGGGGCCGCCAGTATCAGGAGTGCCTCACCAGGTCCCCATCACCTATATGACCAAGGAGCAACCACAGGGCCAGTTCTCCCCACCTCCTGGGCAGGTGGGCGTGGGGGGTGGGGGCAGTGATTCACACCTGAGCTGTCACCACAGCTGTGTGGGCTGTCACAACAGCAAAGGTCAGCAAGCCACCTCCCCTAAACAGCCACTGAGGCCTAGAAGCCATCCCTAGGGCTTGCATCTGGGATCCCATGTTTACTTGGGCAATGGGCAATCCAACCTGGCCGGGGACAAAACACCCACCATTGGGTTCTACCCAATCCACCTGATGGGCTCCTGGGCAGGTTACCTGGAGGAGCGGTGTTACCTTCAAACCGCTGGAACTACCCTTTTAAGAGGTGACTCTCCGTAGCTAGGGATAGAACCTAAGGCACACCTTTCCAAAGCATTTCTGGCCAACGGCAGCCGGGGCAGGTTGGTGTACTGTGCGTGCACCTCGCGCGCCCGCCCGTGCGAAACGCTGCCAACTGTACAGTCAGGGATCCACAGACCCTCCCCCAAACCGGGGCCAATGGCTTAGTTCCAGGGTGAGCTCTCTTGTGGCCCCAGCACAGGAGCTAGAAGTGGGAGCAGAGAGAGGAGATAGAAATACGTATAGAGGGAAAGAGAGGTGAAAAGAGGACAAATATAAAGAAAAGTAGAGAGATTATAAATATATAGAAAAAAGGAGAGATATGGGGTTGGAAATATAAAGATGAGATTAAAATGTATGGAAAAGGAGACTAAGAGAATGTGAAAACAGAGGCAGGGAGGAGACAGAAATATAGAGGGGCTAAGAGAGACTATGGAAATAGAGGTAAAGAACAACAACAAAAAATAAACAAACAAAAAGAAACAGAGGTAAAGAGAGAGGGTTAGAGAGAGGTGAGGTACAGATGGAGACCCGAGGTGACGCTTCGCGTACGAGCGGCCTCGTCCCTTGGCCGGACTCAGCCCGGCGAGCGCACGGGAGGATGGCCGGGACTGGGGAACACGCGAGCGTCCCTTCTCAAAGGTCCCGAAGCGAAGGCTCACTGCAGTGCCCTGCGCTTCCTCCCCCTGCTCTCCGGGGCCAGTACCCCGGCGCGCTCGCGGCTTCCGGCTCCCTCTGCGCTCGGGGGAAACAAGCCGGTGCGGCCAGCCGAGCCACCCGCACGGTACACACCAGGCAGGGGAGGTGCAGCGCCGGCGCAAGAGCCAGCGCAGTCCCGGCTCCGCGCCACCGCCAACCCCTCCCCGCGCTCCGGGGAGGAGTGGAAGGGGCCCCGCCCCAGCCAGCGGAGACTGCGGTGGAGGGAGGTACCCGGCCCCGCAAGAGCGCGCTGGAGGAGAGGAGTCGGTACAAAAGCTCCGCGCCAGCTCCCGCCCCACAATGGCTTTGCTCTCCACGCGGCGCGCCTCTCCCCTGCAGCCCGGCCCCTGCACCTATCTGTACTCACTTCTGGGCAACGAAGGACGGTGGTCCACCGGGATCCAGATCTTCTGCACCCGGCTCTGAGTCAGCTCCAGGGGCATCTTCACAGCCTAGACTCGGCGGCCCTCCTCTTGCGAATAATTCAGACTTGGGGAAGAGATCGGCTTGTCGACTCCCAGAAACAAAGGGAAAGAGGGAGTTTGTGCGCGGAAGCGCGGCCCGGGCGCTCTCCCTAGCGCTGCTTTTTTGGAAACGTGCTTTGTGCTAAATGACGAACCCCCGCACGGGGCGAGAGGTTCCGCGAGCGCTTCGAAAGGGGCGTGGGTCTGGGGATACACCCGCAACTTCCGCAGGGCCTGGCCCCTCCACTCAGGAAGTCCCCCACTCAGGGATGCTCGAAGAGCAGTGACAGCCGCAGTCCCAGTGAGCCAGTCCAGTCCTCCGCGGTTTGCTCCCGCTCGCCTCCTCTCCAGCTCTGCTAGGATGCCCCGCGCTCCGCGTGGGCTTTTAAGAGTCCTGCCGGCAGCGATGCACACGTCAGCTTTGGGGCGGGAACGCATTCTTCTGGTTCCAGCCCCTCCTCCACGTGAGGAGCCGATGGGGAAGGGCGGGGAAGGGCGGGGAAGGGCTGCGAGCAGGCCAGGAGGCAGCCTGCTGGTGCCCCCTGCAGGCTAGCATCAGTAGTGCGATAACCAGCTGCAGATAACGTCCTAAACCCAGCTGACGGTCCTAGACTCCTTGAGCCTCCTCCTACCATCCCCTAAAAACGACGGGCATGGCTTCCCAGAATAATCACCTCAACTGTGCTGGGAGGAAAGGAGCACTACCGTCCACTGGTCCGTGGACCCGCGCAGCCGAATCTCCAAGAATGACAGCATCTCTAAATGCATCCTCCTGATGACCTCTGGGAGTGGGACCCCAATACTCTGCATTCTTTAAAAAAAATGTTTTAGTTACTAGTAATTCTCGCCCGAGGATATTTTTTTCCATTGAGTTTTAGAGAAAGTGGGAAAGAGGGAGAGAGAGAGAGAAACATTGGTGTGAGAGACACATCGATTGGTTTGCCTCCACCCCACGGCGCTCTAACCAGGGCGAGGTGGGCAGGGGGGGGGGGGGGGACTGCAACCAGGGTTCCTGCTCTTGACCGGGAATTGAACCCATGACCTTTGGTGTGCTGGCCCACGCTCTAACTACTGAGCAACCTCTGCCAGGCAGTAAGTACTCTACATTCTTTTTTTTTCTTTTTTTTAAAAATATATTTTATTGATTTTTTACAGAGAGGAAGGGAGAAGAGAGGGATAGAGAGTTAGAAACATTGATGAGAGAGAAACATCGAGCAGCTGCCTCCTGCATGCCCCCCACTAGGAATGTGCCCGCAGCCAGGGTACATGCCCTTGACCGGAATCGAACCTGGGACCCTTCAGTCCACAGGCCGATGCTCTATCCACTGAGCCAAACCGGTTAAGGAAACATTCTTAACATACAATCCGAGTCAGGCACAGTCAAGTTGAAGACTCCACTTAATGTTAAAGGTTAGAGAGAGGGAAGCCTGAGGGAGGATGCTGAGAGGGCCCGTGGGGCACAGCTCTTCTTGCCAGAGATGCTCCCTGATAACACTTATGCGTCTCACCGCGATCCCCGCCACCCCGGTCCTTCGTCCTCACCCTGCCCACTTTCCTAAATCCCTTAGAAACCTTGACTTGTCCTGAACATTGCTCTCCCAGCAATCATCCCCAAGATCTGGAACCCAGGCAGCGCATGAGGAGGGGGCAGGAAAGCCCCGGAGAGAGGACTCAAAGAGACTCAAGTATCTTGGTTCGCTCAGTCACCATTTACAATATTTTCAACATGCCTTTATCTCTCCTACTGGTAGTAGAAGAGTAAATAAAACTGGGTCCTACTGCAACTGGCAGCTGATTATCTTATACAATAAAAGGGTAATATGCAAATTGGCCCTAAGGGCAAAACGACCAGAATGACCACTCAACCAGTCACTATGAGGTGCACTGACCAGCTCTTGGTCCTTTTCCCCGGCCGGCAGGCTCCGATCACCGGATGGGAACAGGGAACTGGGGGTGGATGGCCACGGGGGGCAGGGCCAGCTGCAGGCAGCCGGGGAAGATGGCCCTGATTGCAGGCCAGGCCTAGGGACTGTACCCGTGCACGAATTTTGTGCGCTGAGTCTCTAGTCCAGCCGTGGGCAAACTTGAATAAAACTAAAAAAAAAAAAAGACCGTACCCTTTTATGTAATGATGTTTACTTTGAATTTATATTAGTTCACACAAACACTCCATCCATGCTTTTGTTCCGGCCCTCCGGTCCAGTTTAAGAACCCATTGTGGCCCTCGAGTCAAAAAGTTTGCCCACCCCTGCTCTAGTCTGACTATAAGCCCCATAAGAAGTATTGGGGGGTGGAGAATCCAGAGACAAATGGTAGGGGAGTGGGGGTTAGAGAGCTACCAAAGGACTTGTATGCATGCATATTAGCATATCCAATGGACAGGCACTGGAGCGGTGGGGGCTTGCCCAGGGTGGGAATGGCTGGGGGGGGGGGGTCAATTGGGGAAACAGAAGACATATATAAACTTTAGACAATTTAAAAAAAAAAAGTATCGCGGGGACTGCCACCGGCACAATGGCGTTACGTGGATGTGCGCGATGCATCAGCACAGAAGCTCTGCCCTGCCTCGCCTATAGGTGCGTACCTCAAGCTGAGGCTGGGCTGCGATTGCAAGGAAGTAGGCGGCGCTCCCTGAAACCCACACTGCAGCAGAATAGCCTGAGCTGAGGCTGCCGGCACACGTCGCTCACGTCCCACATGGCTCCGCTGGGACGGTGCCGGCTCTCCTGCGGCGGCCAGCACAGCTGTTCCCGCACCGCCCCACCCGGGCCTCTCATCTTCCCTGCACTCCGGCCCGCCCACAGGCCCTCCCAGCGATGCCCACCGGGCGGGGGCCCTCGACCACCCTCCTCAAGCCCCGTTTGAGCCCAGCCCTCCCCGGAATCTCTGCTCTCCCTTCAACAGCTCTGCTGACTGTGGTTTCGGTGCTCGGCTAGGAGCAAATGCCATATTTGACACCCTATAACGCCCCAGGGAGAGTCCCACTCCACTCTTGAAATAGGAGTGCGCTGATCAAAGAGAAAAGCATTCACAAGCAAAGCGCCCGCTCCTCGGCAGGGGAGGGGAGTGAGGGCGGGGGGATTGCTGCCCGGGGTTTCATAGAATCAGGAAGGGGGGCCGGCTGTGCCTGTGATGGCGGCTGCACCCCTGGATGCCTGCCCAGGAAGAACCAGTGTACCTGCATGCCTGCTACTTTCCCACTGGATTTTTCACACACACTTACAAACAGGGCAAGGAGACGAGCTGGCATTCTTCCACCCTCTAAGTTTGCAAACTGTGGTGGGATTCCGCTTAGGCAGTGAGAGGTCCAAAACTTGGAGGCGCGTCTTTAATCTCCTGACCTGATAACGTGTTTGTCCAGGGTCGGGCTCTGAGAGCACGAGGCAGGACACATGACTCGGAGAACCCAGCTTAAGCATTCGCACTCGCCATGCGGACCCCGCACGCACTGTCCCTGCCTGTGTGTCAGTAACGCCATAGGCAGCCATTGCTGCCCCAGCAAAGACTGAGTTCTTCACGTCCTGCACCTGATGGAGAACAGGCAAATGGAAGGTCACTTAATCCCCCTCCCACTTCTGACATCTAAGTGCAAAGTGTGAACGAGTGAGAGGCAAGGCCGAATTAAACTTTAAAGGGGGCAGCTTGAATTGGTGCCACCCTTGCAGCCCTCACGTAAATTAGTGTTGCACCCTATGGGATCTAAAATTACTTCACTGCAAAACCGTTTATAAACAACCCAGCCCTGGCAGGTGTAGCTCAGTTGGTAGGAGCATAGTCCTGTGCACCGAAAGGTTGCCGGTTCCATTCCACGCTCAGGGTACATACGTAGGTGGTTCCATTCCCTCCTCAGGGCACATACATAGGTGGTTCCATCCCCCTCTTGGGGCACTTACCTAGGTGATGGGCAGATACCCGGTAGGGGCAGGGTATGGCACATCTGGGAGGCAACCAATGGTTGCCTCTCTCATACATCAATGGTTCTCTCTCTCCCCACCCCTCTCTCCCCACCCCTCTCTAAAGTCAGTAAAACATCCTCAGATGAGGATTTAAATAAATAAAAATAAACAACCCAAGTGCAACTGAATGTACTGGTACTGGTTCAGAGTTTATGGTTTAGACATCTATGTGACTCTTCCCCTAGTTCTGCTGATGGCCCCATCTTCACCATCTTCTAGGGCTTTTTATTAAGTTTCTGGTCCCCAAGCTGGTGGGCGGAAACTCATTCCTTCAAAAAAGGCTGCAGACAGTGTAAAAATATCTTTAATCCGAAACAAACTTTTTTAAAGACAGGACAGCTCCAAGTATGGGGGGAGATTCTATGATCCATAGCATTATTAAGGCTAGATAATCCAGTAATGTTTTAAAGAAAGTAAAGGGAAGTTTAGAGATTAGAGGGGTTAAGGAACTAGATCTAAGGTCAAGAAACGCAGCCAGTTTGCCACAGACAAGTTTCCCCAGAGGACTCGTGATGCACACCGCCTAACTCCAGGGTGCTGAGTGGAGTCCTGAAGGGGAAGACCACACTGATCCAGCCCATCTCACTCAGAACAGTTGAGCTCTTTGGCAGGAAACATTTGCTCCCATGAACCATCCTATGTCTAAGAGAATGCAGTGAGACACTAAATAAAAGACCAAAATAAAGCCTCACCACCCATCCAAAGACAGGGGAGAGGGGCAACTTTTTTTAAATGTTTGTTCTTCATACATGAATGGGAACAGACACAGGCATCCATATAGTGCCACATCGGCAGGAGGGCACTGTTTCTATTCATCCAGAGCCAGGCTGTGGCCATAAAGAAACCCAATTCAAAACCTGCACAATGAGACCGGCTAGTGGCTCAGTTGGTTGAGCGTCCTCCTGTGCACCAAAAAGCTGCCATTTTGATTCTTGGTCAGGACACATACCTGGGTTTCAGGTTCCTCCCCCTTCCTCCCTAGAAGACAACTGATCAACCTTTCTCTCTCCCTGCCCCCCTTCTTCCCCTCCACTCTCTCTAAAAATTAATGGAAAAAATATCCTCAGGTGAGGATTAACAAAATAAACAAACAAACAAACAAGGTTCCATACTCTATATGATTTCAACTCTAAGACATTCTACAAAAGGCGAAACCATGGAGATAGTAAAAAGATTAGTGGATGCCAGGGATTAGGAAGGAAGGAGGGATGAATAAGTGGAGCACAGAGGATTTTTAGAGCAATGAAACTACTAATTATACATTTGTCCAAACCCATACAATGTACAATGACAAGAGTAATGCTAATGAAAACTATGGACTTTGGGTGATGATGATGTGTCAGTATAGGTTCACCCTTTAAAAAAAAATGCATCCTTTAAAAAAATGATGTTAATAGTA